CAGCACAATCCTGTCTGTCTGTCAAAAACGTGCTCTGCAGACACAAGACTGTCTTCGCACAAAAGCCACATCTGGTCTTGAAGTGAGGTATGAACTCTTTAAGCTGCGACGTTGAATATCTTTGACCAGGAGCCGATCCGGGATTTCGTTAAGACAGAGCCGCGCTTCATCGTGGTTATTTCTAGGGGTAAATTTTCTTGTATTCTGTGTGTTCAACTTGAATATTCGGGGCTGTATGTGGTGACTCTGAGCGTTCTTGCGTCTTGAAAATGGACGTTATGTGGACCAAAAATGAAGATCTTGTTACTGCTTCATTGCAAAATTTTAGTGCCCCCTCGGCCCAACGGGAGAGGGGGAGGGGCACGGGGCCCCATGCCCTCTGGATCCGCGACTACCGCTGACCACTACAAATCGGAAAATAACTACATGCCATTTTGCCTTTTTCCGTGTTGAGCAGCACTACGGTGCAAAGCTGTGTGACACTCGAACTTAAAACCTCATGAGCATTGTCATCAACCGAACCCGAAAGAGCACGTGCTTGTGTAGTTTCACGCTGCGTCGTACACATCTGAAATTGGATCATTTTTGTCCCACTCGGCATACGAACGCCCAAGGCGTAAGATGGGTGTTGTATCTTCTCGTCGGGCATAGCTCTAGCTCAATTCCAAAATTATTCATTTATCATATGATATTAACCCGTGCCCTGACAGAGGGCAGATGCAACCCCACTAGCTTTTCAAGGGTACCTCTCCGGCATGTCGGGCAATCGCGCCAAATCTTCAGCAGCCTTCAGCAGCTTCAGCGCATTCATTGCGCACGCTTTGAAACCACAAAGCTGTGTTTAGCTTTCTGGTTTTGGATAGTTTGCTTTTAAAGAATACTGATGGCAATCCACGGTCTGCACGGGCGACCGGCGGCAACCGACGATGCGGCGGAGAGCGCGCGGCGGGCCGACTTTGTTACGTGTGATGAAGTGTTCCACCTTTCGGGCACATTTCAAAAACATACAGCGTTGAAACATCGGGGCCAGTTACGTCTAATCAAAGCACTGGGCAATGCCACTGCAGCACCGTAAAGACATAGTAAGGATATCAATTTTTTTTAGCTTTGGGTCCATATTACGCTGCCAACGTTTTGTAACAGCACTACGTTTCCTCCTTTCAGTCGCGAGCACTGTACCCATGACAGCTGCCGTGCGCACCTCTACTGGTGCGAATAAATGAACATTTATGATTGGTCCAGCGGGAGGTATGGGCCTGTTTCAGAGTAGCGCACTGGTTGAAGTTTGAACCAGTGCGCCACTATGGACTATGTCATGCTCCCATTCCCAAAGCCAAAATGCGTCCGGAAAAGAGTCATGTGGCCGTCGTCATAGGGAATAAATCAAAGAGATATTATAACGTGTCTTGAATTAGCGGGATCTTAGCTTCATCTTCGCACGTCTTTTCGTTTAGGCAGAGTGTTTCAAGGTTTCGAAGCATTTATAGCACAAATATTTTTACAAATGGGTTTGTTGCAAACATTACAGAACACACGCATTGCAAAATCAAAGCAATTGACAGGCATTGCTTTCATAGTAGGGAGCCAAATAAGATTTCCCCCGCATGAGCGGGTTCTTCAGGAGCGGCTACTTCTGGGCTTTTCAGGATGATTTCGAGAAGACTGGCGTTACTGATCCAGTCGCACGAGCCTAATCAAGCAATGATCAAAAAGAAAATTAAAGTGGGATGGTTCCTTAAACGGAGCCAAACACCATAAACATACGATCAAAACATTTAAAACTATACGCCATTTTACTTCGCATGAACCGGAAACACGGCTGTTTACGTTTCTTTGTCGCTACAAGGCATGGTCTCCTACGTATGATGTTGTAAAGCTGAAACGCTCAATTTTCTTATGATTGTAAATCCGCAGCCTGCCCCCCCCCCCCCCCCCCGCCCCGGTCGCCTCCCAACATGCAAGAGGTTGCGAGGAGCCCACACCAGACGCACAGAAGCACCCAGCCCTGCTCCCCTGAGCCCTGCTCCATCTCAGCGTTGCCACGTTGACGGCTGGCCGGGACCTCACGCTGGGATTGAGCGGAAGACCCGCCGACCGCGGCTGCGGCCGTGACCTTCTCACACCGGATATCCGCCGGAAGCTCCAGCCGGGAGCGGTGAGCAGCGTCCCCAGCGCCCAGCGGCGGCGCACAGCCCCCCGCTCAGCTCGGAGGCTATTTTGAACGCGGCCGAGACGGGACCGCCCGGCGGCTGGCGGACCAAGTTCGAGGCTGATTAGCGGACGGGGCGGACGGGAGGACGGTAGTTTCTCGGCGACTGTGGAGTGGATCCAGGTGGGTGGCCCTCCACGGCCACGAGCATACCTTCGTCGAATCTCGCCACGCACGGAGAAATACAGAGTTGCGACCCATGAAGAGGCCTGGAGCTGAAATTTTTTATTCAGCGGGGTGTCCACGACACCGGGCTCGCGCTCAAAAAGCGAATTCGCGCATGGTGCAGGCAAAAGCTTTCCAAAGCTTAGTGTTTCAAGCAAATGTGACGGGTGCTACCTCGTGCACCCCAGGATGTTTAGAGTCCAGAGCTACCAGCATCCCGTAGATTTCTTACAAAATGCATGCACCATCATAAACGCCTTAAAGGGATTCACATGGTAATGGTGTAACTTGCAGTGTGTCGCGGGGGTATTTCAGGATGTGTGGAAATGCAAGCGTACGCTATCCGACGCCAGTGGCATAGGACCCCTCGCTCATCATCTGACCGACTGGTGAAATAGCACCCCCCGCTCATCCCCTGACCGACCAGTGAAACAGTACCCCTCGCTCATCTCCGGACCGAATGGCGAAATAGAATCCCTCGCTCATCTCCCGACCGACTGGTGAAATAGTACCCCTCGCTCATCCCCAGACCCACTGGTAATCAATTCAGGCAGTGACAACGGCGCTGAAGAGCGATCAACGCCGGTAGAGCTTATCCTCGATCGCCGGAAGCTCGATAACCGGGGCCTTCTTGAAGAGTGTCAGACAGAAGCGGCATAACAATCGTGTCCTAAACGAAAAAAAACAGCTAGACATGATTGATTAGATTGTCATTTGGATTTAAGAACACTTAGATGGCAGTGGTCATTTCGAGTCCGCGAGAGATGAAAACGAAATAAATCAGCTCCGGATGGGTCCTCGATACCATTTGTTTTCGCGTGGTCCAGCGCGCGCGCTGGTCACTTCAACGTGATACAGAAACGTCACAATGAGCATTGCTGCTGCGTGTTTTCAAGCCATTGATGGAATATCTATTTCCTGTCACATTTTGCGTCGCCCCCGCGTTGGTGCTGGGGAGGGGTAGGGGTGCGTGGAGGAGTCCAGGTTGAATTAATCGAACCCACGCCGTAAACAGACCCCGCGCCCGCGTCACGCCGACCTCCCACACAGTTCCGCGCAGGTCAGGCGAGGTGCAGTAAGCGCCGTGACCTTTGCGACATCACCGCATCAGATCTAGGAATGGGCTTCTCGCGGGGCTTATTGACCACCATACTCGCTCGGACATGGTGATCAATCGGATCGATGCCTCCATGGGCCCCCGCTGGCACGGATTGATCGATCGGGCTGCCGATCACGCCCCCCCCCCCCCCCCCCACCCCGTCCGCCCCGGCGCGTCTCACGTGTCAACCCACAGGCGTCTGTGTTGATACTGGTCCAATTACGGAAGAAACTGAAAGTTAGAATTCGGCGACTGGCCGGCACAGACACAAGCTTTTCGGTAAGCGGTTTCACCGGTCTGTTGGCGCAGGCCAAAGGTGACCCCACGTGAGTGGCATGTTGACATTCGCCATCCGTCTGACGATGCAACGAATTGTGCAACAATGCAAATATTTGATTGAGTCGTTCATTTCTTTGACGTTCTTTTTAACTTTTATGCCGGTAAAACGATTCAATCAATCGTTTCCGAGCGCCGCGTTTCGCGGTTGATTTTCGGTTGTGCCATGTTACATTCGGTCGGCGTTTCCACGAGCAAGGCTTTCCGAACAGGACGACGCATTGTTTTTCACTCGACGAGCATACAAATAGTTTTTACATCCATACGCCACCAATGAACATATACAGAGACCCTGCACAAGCACATACATTAACAGGAACCTTCTGAAAACATTACTGCGTGGCATGCATGAGCCAGAATTTGATGCGACCACGAATGATCACAGCGGCCCAGATATAACTCAATTAGCAATGCTTTTCTCGCATAAGTTAGTTAAAAGGCCGCATCTGCCGGCGCGTTGGGCAGCCTCCGATGCGTCGTCAGTCTGACGGCGTGGTCTCTGCGGGATTGGATCGCCGGTGGCCGCACCACATCAGCATTTGCAATCGATGCCTTGATGCAGGACGAACCGAGATATGGCGGCTGACGTTGACAGGGCGTCGCAACGAGGAACGGTATGCCACTCAGTGATCATCGGGGTCAGAATTGCGAGCTTTACCGCTTTTATACTTAATACTCTCTAGCGACGTTCATAGCGTTGACGTCTCAATGGCAAAGCCGGCAGACACGTAGTTAATCGGCTGCCTTCCCTACATTGGCATTACGTAATCCACTAGCATCGCCAGTTGGCGCGACGCACGAATGGCTCCAGATGTGTTTCGTCCCATTGACTTGGGATGTATAGCCGGTAGCACCTCTATGGGCCGGAGTGTGCCACTTGCCGGCTGAGAGCGCGTGTCTCCACTTTCATGCGCCACTGGTTACGCCCCTCCACTCTGCCCACTCGACCCACCTAGTGGTCTGTGCTGGTAGTAAGGCTACAGTTTAAGCTGCATTTATGCGGGTTGGGATGGCGAGCAGACCAGCGGAAGGAACATTGCGCGACGTGCGGGGTGCTAGCAGGAGCGCAAGCAAAACCCCGGCACAGACAGCTCGCGCGCTCACGCAAAGTATCACTTCCCCGCCACCTGTGCTCGGACGGGATGGCGTTGACATGCAGGATGCCGCGGTGCCACGCAGCCCTCGGCCCACCTGTACTCGGAGCAGTCCGAGGCGACGCTGACATTGCTGCGAGAGCGGCGGCTGCGGAAGGAGTCGCCGCAGTTGACGACGCCCTTGCCGGTGACGGAGAAGTGTCTGAGTCGGTAGTACTCGGGCTCGGCCGTCTCCTCGGCGTCCCGGACGGAGGTGGTGCTTCGGCAGCGGCCCAGCGCGTCCGGGATCATCAGGTAGTCTGGTGGCGGGCGGCGGCAGCGTCAGATCCCGCACCGGCAAGCGGTACACGACAGTGGGCATTCAGCTGTTGTGTTTTCGACGTTACCAGCAATGGGCCCTAAATATGTGAACAAGGCGTTGACGTTGACGAAAGTCAAGAGACCTCGGCGAGGACGTGGGACGAGGACTTCCATGTGAGTATTGAACGCTGGCTTTGGTTAAGCCAGACATGTCGAGGCATAGTCATCCCAGAAGCTCAGATGCAGCAGTGTCAGACACTTGGCCACAGTGCGGTGACCATGCAGGTCAGCTTCCCTGGCACAGAGCTTGTGCGACTCAGTAATGACGGTCATTTGGTGCAAGGCTGGGAGCGTCAGCCTGGTGCGACCATGACGTCACACGCACGCCATGACGTCACACAGGGCATCAAGAACAGTCAGGAAATGGTCAGTTGTACTGGAATCCCTCTCCTAGTTTTATGGGGTCACGTTTTTATGCTTCGCAGGGACGATGGTCCGGTATCCACCTCTGCAAAATAATCGATCATAGTTATAAATAGTATAACAAAACACACGTATCGCAGGCGGCAACACTCAGCTCTTCCTCTGGGGCGTGACTGCATTCCCTGGTGGTCACCTCTCCCTGGCGGCAACCTTACCCACCTCGCCCTCCAGTCGGCCACGGCCTGACAACAGTGGCGACGGCATTTCGGTGCTGGATTGAAATGACGCATTGGAGCGGCTAAATGTGTATCTACTGCAGCCCAGGACGGGCTGAATTAATTGCCGTAAATTATGGACGGCTTGGATTCAAAATAGATCTCTGCAGCAGACCCACAGTGTTTCCAGCCAGGAATAGTCAGAAATTCCCATGAAGGTAACATTAGACATGTCACATGATCCGCGTAAATGCAGCCGATAACGCAAATGTCTGGCGATTGAAAATATGAAAGATTTATCAACGATGAGCGGCTCAGTATTTTTTGCTGCCGAGGAGAAATCCTCCCGTCATTCTTCAGGCACCATTGTAGACTGACACAGTGGCGGTGGAAGAACACAGATCTGTTCCGCACTAGGTCACTCTTGTCGTGACCTCAAAGGACACCGGCAGGGCTATCGGGGAGACCTCCACATCCTGTCGGGGCTGCGGACCTGATCCGACCTTCATCCGACTGTCATGATCCGACCTCCATCGGACCACCATGATCCGACCTTCATCGGACCGCATGATCCGACCTCCATTGGGCCACCATGATCCGACTTTCATCAGACCACCATGCCTCGACTTCCTTTGGACCACCAAGATCCGACCTTCATCAGACCGCCATGATCCAACCCCCATCGGACCACCATGAAACGACCTCCATTGAATCGCCATGATCCGACCTTCATCAGACCGTCATGATCCGACCTTCATCGGCCCGCCAGCAGTCCGGTCTAGCCGTGCGATGAGGCTCAATAACTGCACTGATAGTCTTGGCCGGAAATTGATGCTATTGGTTTTCAATCTACAATGTAGTGGCTGAGCTACGAGGCAAATCTCTATCATGTTACGGGGTATTGGTGACCCAATTGGAGACGACTTCAGATGGATCTGGTCAATTTTCCAATGATTGTTGAATCGGTAGTAATGGAAACACGCTTCTTGCCGCAGCAACGATTTGTGTTGCTCCCTTGACCTCCATTCTTAAAAGGCTGCGAGTTGTTCTGAAGCACTTTCGTTAACGCTGTCACATCACGGGAACGCCTAAACCACAAAACATCGGGAAAGAACAAAATAAACTGCTGAGTTGTCTACTGCGAAAGCAACCAGGCAGCAAACGCACCATATGTGGTGTGTAAACAGCATTCCACCGCTGCTCCAGGAAATGCTACCGCGTATATTATTACGTCAAATGCGTGTGGTAAAAGCAGGACGCCCGTCATGATGCCTGCAGGATGTGTGCAGACAGACCGCTGCACTGGAGTGCAGTTTATTCCAACTCAAAGGAAGTATTGTACGGTTCTATGGGGGTTTTGGGTTTTGAACGGCCATCTTGAAGACCTTCCGGTGCAGTTCACAGCCCTGCTTTCCGTAAAGCCTGGTTTCTGTGGTTTATGAGCAACACACCCGCGAAATGGGGAATTTTTCGTGGAAAATTTCGGGGAAACTATTTTTGTTTCGGGGACAGTATTTAAAAGTCACACTAACATTCATGACGTCATCATAACGTCGTTCAAATCCTGCCATTTCATAAGCCAAGCGGCGATCAAAGCCGAACAAAATATAATGGTCGAGTCGTTCATATCTGGCGTTCGTGGACACGATTTCCAAAAGTAACAGACGTCAGCTGGCTCTCAATCAATACTGCGCAAGGCAGTATGACGTAATCAAACAACGACTAATCTAGGAGCATCTTTACTAAAAAGAGATCCTGCTTCACTATATTCAAATGTGAAACATCCCCTTGAAAGGCAATTAACCCTAGGGACAAAATGTCCATGGAGTATGGTAGTGCATACATGACAAATGTCGTGCGAAACGAATGCATAGCTTTGCCTGCAGGCTGCAACCAATAAGGCTGGCTGTACTCCGACATAAAGTGTTAAATGATGTGAGGAAGTAATTCGGAACAGTCCTCTTTCGGCTTTGTAGTTTGACTTTGGCTTTGTACCCGGGCGTGTGGTCTTGTTTAAACAGATAGACAGGGCAAGCATTAGCATATGCATATGCTAATGTTTGCTCTGTTAGTCATATCCTCGAGCTGACTTAACACCGGATGCTACGAACAGTTCGGAGCATTGATCCGTTTGTCATTCGTTTGTACCGGTGGGCTTGGAAGGGACACGAGGGATCACACCACGTTAAGCTGAAACCTGTCAAAGACCCTGCAAACACGACAGTCTGGCCTGGTGAAGCTGACATCTAGAAACTTACACAAATGAATGCCGCGGAAAAGTCAACCCGGTGAGCATGTTGTTTATTTTACTGCTGTCTTTGTGATCGCCAGCACGGCGCTGCGACGTTACAAGTCTGATGAGATCGTAAGAGATCGTAAGAGATCGTAAGAGATCGTAAGAGATCGTAAGAGATCGCGAGAGAGTTGGGAGGGATGCCTCCTTAAACGAGCCTTCTGGGACAGCGGAAAGAGACAAATGGCCTTATCGGGAAGTTTGTTTAGCTGATGATGCATTCATTGCGCTTGCCTTGCAAAAAACCTCCTTAATCATTCACTGTTTTGGTTATTTTATGTTGTGCTGACAAATCGTCACTACAGCGTACAAATGTTGACGCACATCGTGTCTGGCCTCAGAGCGAGCCAGGGTCGCGTTTTGTTTTTCTGAGTGTAACTCGGAACTATTGATGTGGCTTTTAGCCTAGAGAAGTACCGCCCTATTGGACGGAAACCTCCAGTTTCCTACTTCTGTTTCTCAAGCATTAGCATTGAACTGACCTAGGCAGTTTATTGTTTGAACTGGGGTAAGACGCCGGACAAAGCTGGGTTTTCAGACGCTACGCTGATCTTGGGCTTTCACGACGTGACTGTGTACAGCCACGGGCAGGAGTTAGAGCTTTAGCTCAATTAAGAATTAAAATAGTGACGTGGTGCCCACCACCGCTCATCTTACTCGGGTAGAACATAGCTCCCATCCGACGGGGATTAGAAGCATAGTCAGAGGATCAAAAGGCGGTGATCATGGTCAGTCTCTTCAGGTTAACCAAAGCAGTTCGGTTAGCAAGCAAATCAAAGTGGTGACGAAAATGATCAATGGTGTTTCCACACCGGTAACTATTTGAGCACCACCTAAATCGTCATTGGGGCTCCGAAACGATTAATGGACCACACAATGACCAGGGGTCAGAGGGTTACAGGTCTGAAGACCAGCAGGAGCTCTGATGTGACCAAGAGGAGTCCAGGGCCCGCAGCCACGGAACAGCCGGCCGTAAGACCTTCAGGCTTTCGTGAAAGGAAAACGGCTCATGAGAAGCCAGACATCTTGGGTACGACGGTCGTGGCGTACCCTCAAACCACGTGAGTCCACATTAGACTTGTGATCGTGATACTTATGGTTTAAGGCGCATCGACTGCATGATTATTTTGTTAATTTGCATGAGGACAAACGGCAAGTGTGCGATGAAACCCATTAGGATCAAACAGCACGAGAGTCGCCACCCGAGGTCAGCGGTAGCTCCTGACCGGCAAAGCTGCGAGCTTTGAACCTTGCGTGGAGCCTCGGAAGGGGAGGTGGCCAGCACCAGCCTTGCTGTGTGCAGCGCTCGTGGAGCCAGCACCAGCCTTGCTGTGTGCAGCGCTCGTGGGGCCAGCACCAGCCTTGCTGTGTGCAGCGCTCGTGGGGCCAGCATCAGCCTTGCTGTGTGCACACTCGTGGAGCCAGCACCAGCCGTGCTGTGTGCAGCGCTGGTGGAGCCAGCACCAGCCGTGCTGTGTGCAGCGCTCGTGGAGCCAGCACCAGACGTACTGTGTGCACACTCGTGGAGCCAGCACCATCCGTACTGTGTGCAGCACTAGCGGAGCCAGCACCAGCCGTGCTGTGTGCAGCGCTCGTGGAGCCAGCACCAGCCTTGCTGTGTGCACACTCGTGGAGCCAGCACCAGCCGTACTGTGTGCAGCGCTCGTGGAGCCAGCACCAGCCGTGCTGTGTGCAGCGCTGGTGGAGCCAGCACCAGCCGTGCTGTGTGCAGCGCTCGTGGAGCCAGCACCAGACGTACTGTGTGCACACTCGTGGAGCCAGTGCCATCCGTACTGTGTGCAGCACTAGCGGAGCCAGCACCAGCCGTGCTATGTGCAGCGCTCGTGGAGCCAATACCAGCCTTGCTGTGTGCAGCACTCGTGGGGCCAGTGTGCAGCACCAGTGGAACTGTGTGCAGCACTAGCGCGGCCAGCGCCAGCTGCTCAAGTGGACAACAACAGTGGCCAGCAACGGTAGCTGAAGGGCCAAAAGCGGTCGACACAAGCTGTTGTGGCCAGCAGCATCCGCTAGCATTGCAATTTTGCCATTCCAAAGAAATTATCATTTC